AATAGCCAGGACAATTTTTAATATAACTCCGACTGGATTCGTCTGAAAGAAGAAAGTCATGTACACCTAGGATGTCTCGAGGGTGAATAAAACACAGTCTAATTTAAATTTTTGGGTGAACTAACCCTTTAAGTACAATTACCTAAGCGTTTTACTGCCCTGCAAACTGTTGCACTTTTTTTCTGTAGACATTGCTGGTGTATGACCTTCTTAAAAAGAGCTACATTAAGAAACAGACTGGACTGTTCATCGTGCCCTGTCCTCGACAAGACTATCGGCTCCTAGATGGTGAAATACTGCTGGGCCTTTCAGAAACACGGTAAGAAACAGAATACTGCTGTATGAGTAATATTCATGAGATTGCATGAATATGGCATGCAGGGATCATCTGATATTGTGGGATCTGGACTCTGGCTACATTAAAGTATCAAGACGTCCTACAAAGAAACCCTGCTCTCCAGCATGGACAGACATTCCCAGATCATGTCCTCAAAAGCGAAGACAGGTATTAAAACAGCATATGAACCTCATGATACTTGAGTTTACCATTGCATTTGTACAACATCTCAGTCCCACGTAGATTTTCATACCATATTCAACATAAAAGAAAAAATCCTCGAAGTCTGAACTTGTTGCACAGGTCTAGTAATACCATGGGACAGGCGCACCGAAATCCAGACTGCAAAAAGGAGGCGACAGGAGCGTGAAATGAAGAGAGAAAAAGATGAACAGCAGCGCCTCGAAAAAGAGAAGTTCAACTCTATATACCAGTATCTTCTCAGCGGAGATGAGCAGGTAGAAAGACAGCTGACCAATAAACAAAAACACTAATCTTTCCTGAATTATGAAATAATAAACCATATCTGATCTACATGTTTGTGAACTGAACTGAAATGCATCGATTCCATCTTTGAATCTCTCTTTCTCTCTCACTTTTCTCTGTGTATCACTTAGGTGGTCATATGGTCATATTTTGCCCATCATCTCAACATCTTCAGTGTGGTTTCTGAGGAGCATCTGCACACCCTGGAGGACCGCTGGTCCCTTTTGAGTCTCCGTACTGCAGCAATCACTCACACTGGAGGATACTTGGTGGTCTCAAACTACAGTGAGGCCCAGCATGCTCCATACCTCACTGTTTGGGACACACAGCAGCGCAGAGTATGCAAATCTGTTTAAAGATGTCTAGCATTTTTTTCAATCATGTTATTTTTAATCAAAAAGAAGTGGGCACATTGCTCACTTCAGGTCCATCAGTTAAATCTTTACATTTAGTATTTGCTTTAAGATAGAATTCATATATTCAGTAAGATGAATGTTTCTTATATACGTAAAGGTGCGGAAGAGATTGAAAAATGAACCTGGAATCTGTTGCATTGCTATATGCGATGATGCCTGCAAAGTGGTTTTCGGCATTGCAGGATTCAACAAGTATGTGCCACCCCAACGGCAATGTTCAAAACCAGTTAACTTATATCATAGCTTTTTTTTGTATATATATATATATATATATATACACTACTTGTCAAAGGTTTGGAATAATTAATAAAAAATAATATAATAGTTATAGTAATTTATGTTTTTGAAAAGTTTCATGCTCACAAAGGCTGCTTTTGTTTGATCACAAATACAGTAA